TTCCACGAACGTGAGATCATTGGCGAAAGCTCAGTCATTGGAATTTTATAACCATTATCCTTTAAATATTTAACATACGCATTTCGATATATTATAAAAGAATTTTGGAACCTTGCCACCTTTGGTTTTGAAATCAACTTTTCAACTAATTTCATAACCTCTTTCATTGTTGGAGGAGATTGTGGGAGGCTCAGTGGTGGATATAGAGTATCTTTCTTAATGGAAAATATAGGCTGAACTCTCGGACGTTTGGGTTCTTTCATTGTGTGTTGTTTGTGAATAGTCAACAAGCAGCAGAGGTCGCGAAGTATCCACTAGGCCGTGGAGGATCGGAGTACAGTATTTATAAATTTTGCAATTTGACTATCATTACTTAAAAGAGAAACACAATTATATTTTATATTATTTTTATTATTGTACGTAACCCAAGGACGTTGTTAATTTTTTTTCTTTGTTAATTTGCTCTTGAATAAACTTTAATTTGGAAATTTGATACTATCAATATGTAGCAACGATCACACGTATAGAATTTTCGTGCTTTTAATGTTTCGACAATTTCGATTCGAAGGTTTTCTCAAATTTTGTTGCTAGTTTGATGTAAAATTTACTAACCCACGGCACATACTACTAGGTATTATATCGCAAAGTTTTTTAAGATCTGAACTAAAAAATAAAATTTTGCGCGTTCAAAGTTGTGACGCAAATTGATTACATAATAACTTACGGTGTGTAAAATGAGTATGTGCCGTAAGCGTACATCAGTGGAAACAAAGCATTCATACATCTGCGGATTTAAATCACCGTATGAGATAATTTATATTAAATCCGCAGCTGTACGATGACGAATACTTTGTTCCGATAATTATTCATCGCCTTTTACAGAATACCAATTAGTATAACAAAATACTTGAAACATATATTGGGATTATTATCACGAAGTAACGTTTCCACGAAATTTTACTTGCATTTTATTTTCCTAATTTTATTCGAGTAATCAAGTCATCAAAACTTCGTATGATTTACAGTATCCATTTCGTATGGTTTTAGCAATTGCACAAATAGATTTATAATTAGAAAATTTTGAATTTATTTCCATTTCCATTTCAATCAATATTTGAGTCTTTGCCGTAGTAATGAATAGCAAACGAAATCATAATAACCAGATAATGTATATATTATATTCGAATGAAAAAATTAATCTGTTCTAAATAAAATTCTAATTTAATGCAAACTAAAAACAAGAAAGATTTTCTATTGTAAAGGGGTAATTATCTTTAAAGGCGGACATGGTTTTTTCGGACCTTGTAATTGTAGTCTTAAAATTGTATTGGACACATACGTATTATTAAAAAATAGGGACCGAAAAAATCTAAAAATCTTATCTAACACTTCGTCGCTTTCAAAGATGCTGTAATGGCTCAAATGGCTGGCAATATGACGTGCATTGATCGGACTGCATATCTGCATATCACTACTTGACAATGGGCATATAAATCCAAAAATAATACTGTTGCATGAAAATGGTCATTGAAATCGTTTTCATAGTAGTGGGATGCATGTAGATCTAAACAATACAAATATATTTGGCATTTATGAAAGAAATACGCAGTTTAAATACAGTACTCGAGAATTCATTAACAAATTTGTATAATGCAAAAAAATTTTAATATAATACAGTAATGTATAATTGCGCACAAACACCGTTGAACTTAATTAATTATAAATTTAAAACTATACTTCTTTTTAATAAATAAATTAATTCGTTATGCGTTATACATGGGTAATTATTTTGAAGGCAGAAAAAATGCTAGATATGATTTTTTTCGGCCCCTACTTTTAAGCAATATATACGCAATGTAAATTTTAGGATCACAATTATAGTGACCGAAAAATCCCTGTCCGCCTTCGAAAAGAATTACCCACATACATAGTTATTAAACAAAATGATATTCAAAAAATTCCAAATAGATTAATTTAAAAAAAAGAACATTTTCTTTAACTTGCCTATTTGATGCAAAAGAAAGAAGGAAGGAAAAAGTCATCGAGCCCATTACAATATATATGTATGCAATGTGCAAATAAATTTTTTTTTAAAAAAAAATTTTAATTGAAGAATATATTACATAATTTATACGAATATTTTAAAAAATTCTTGATACAATTTGTTTAAAAATTAATGTTATAATCAAATAATTTTATTAGACGTTCAGAATAATCTTTTTAATGAATAATATCCAAGATTATGTATTTTTATCCAAAAAAATGAAAAATCCATACGTATATATAATAGGTGATCGGCGAGTATGTCGCCAAGAGTTAACATACTGTAGATCCGCATAACTGTGATATTAAAACTTTAAAGTGAGGCGCATTTTCGGGTTGACCAAATTCTGCTTTTTATTAACTAAAATAAGGCTTTATCTTGTACATAAAATGAAATTGAAATTGACAAAAAAGTAAAGTAATAATAACACAAACTGTTATATAACACTCCTAACGCATTACATAATTATTGGATTGTCCCGATCTTGTTTTTAAAGATCTATCACATGACTACTGCACGATTGTGTCGTATATTTTGATAATAGTCTTATGGCATTTATTAAAATATTCTGGCGCCACTTCTATTGAGACGGCATGTTCTGTCCGGTCAAATCACGTGATAGTTCCGCGAAGACCGATTACTCGGCACGGATAACGTTACCTTTACTCATACTACAATACTGAATAAAATTAATCCAATGTAAAAATCATACTTAGTTGAAAATTAATGTGTGAAAATAAAAGTATATATTACTGTAAGTATTTATGGGTAATATGTATCAATATACGTATATTGAAAAAATAATTTATAGTCATCAAATTAGAAATTTCGTTTTTACTTTTCCGAATCCATATAAAGTCACGTATCAGAAAAGAAAAAACTTCCATTCGGCTTATTAACTTGAATATAAAAAATGTATCAGACTAGAAGGCAATGATCATATATTTAAAGATAAAAAATTAAAATCTAATTATAATATTGTTCGTCTAATACAGAATGTATGTAAAATACGAAAAACTCCGTTAGACTGCACCTTGTGTCATTAAGTGAAACCGTCCAACTAGGGAAAATTCACAAACAAAGAAATCAACAATAAACAATCCTCCAAAAATTTTGAATATGAATAAGCGAACCCCTATCTATTGATAAAAAATTATGCAAAGACGATAATTACAAAATCAAAGCTGATTGCTGATCTCAAACGTAAAATTGTAAACTTCCTCATATATTGGAAAGCTGAATGTATCATGTGAAAAGTAAATTGATTGATTAAATAGAACATCTGTACATCCCACTTGATAAAATTGATTATATAAAGAATAAGATGGGTAAGGTGGTATTGAAACAAAAGGAGGATTAAAAATCGGTTCATCCAAAGGATAAGGCCAGGGTTAAATTGCTGCGAAAGGATTTGAATGTAATTCATTAGGGGAATCGAATCCATCTATATGAAGTTGATATGTGATTGAGAGAAACTCGTCGAGGGACGATTGATTTTTCATGAGATGATTCGCTCCAACCATTTGGTTATATAACTTTTTGATTTTATTAGAAATTTTAGAATAGGTTGTCTTTACTTAATAAGGCTCGCTTTTCCACAAATGACTTAACATCTTTCTTACTTGGTTCATGGATATACTGTATGAATATTGTTCTCGTTTAAATATTTAACATACCATATTCTATATAGGATGAACTTATTTGGAAGAGGTACTAATTTTTTCTTTGAAAGTAATTTTCCAACCAAACTTGTAACCTCTTCCAGTGTTGAAAAAATTGTAGGCGTAATGGAAGTTGTAATGCAGATTTTTTAATTGAAAAGGAGGTTTGATTTCTTAAATGTTTGTGTTTGTTTCTCGATTTTTTTATCTTGTTTTTTCTTGATATTATTCATCTTGTCCGTGGTGTTTAAGTTTATTGCGATAATAATAATGTAAAACTAAAGTTTCCATTTAACTAGGGTATTTTTATGTTTGCCTTCAGTCTTGACTTATTGTACTTTGCAATTGACAGTGCACACAAGGTGTCACTATGGTATTAACCCTCTTAGATTTATTATATGTAATCATATACTATGTATTAAATCCAATTTCCTTAAAAACGGCGATTAAAAATAAAATGTATTACGTGATAGTCCGTGTCCCAGCAAACCTCAAGTTACTATTTTTATTTTTTTTTCTTTGTTTATTGCTCTTATAATTTATTCGATTTGGAAATTCTATACTATTAATTGTGTAACAGAAGTCTCCTCGTTAGAATATTCCTGATTTTAAAATTAACAAATTTATCCAAAAAAATTTTAATAGTTTTACTAACCACGTACATGCGACTAGATACCTATCGCAAAGGTTTTCATGCTTTAGACTAGAAAATAAAAATCATACGCATTCAAAGTTACAACGGTGAATTTGATTATGTATTATAAAAATCTATAGAATAAGTGTAAGTACACGTACAATAAATGGACAAACATGTGATTTACTACAATATACGGTATCAATTTGGATAAAAAAAACTTGAAACCTATAGGGGTGATTAATATTTTTAGTTGGAGGTAAGGCGTTTGAAAAGGATTATATAGATTAAATCAAGATTTTTCCTGAAACAAAAGAAGTTGCAATTCATACATACATTTTAATAATTTGATTGTATAAGCTGTTTAACTTCGCTTGAGATTTTTGTGTAGGCTTCCTTTACGTGATAGGGTTCGCTTTTCCACGCATGTAAGATCATTGGAGAAAGCTTTGTCATTGGAATGCTGTGGCCATTTTCCTTTCGATATTTAACGTACACATTTTTGTATATTATAAAACCGTTAGGGAATCTTGCCAGCCTGGGTTTCGTAATTAATTTTTCAACCAATTTTATTGCTTCTTGCACTGTAGGAGGAGACAGTGGCGAGGGTAATGGTGGGTATAGCGGTACCTTCTTTAATTTAAAAATTGGGTGACGTCTCATTGTCTACCACATTTATGTTTTATAGAGCAAATTTCTATAGGATCTAAAATACTGGGTGTATTTATACTACTTTTTTACGTGAATTTTGATAAAAACACACTAAAGAAACAAAGGAGCTTTACTATTGGTATCAACTCCTTTGATTTATATCATTGTATGTTGTCACACTCTAAAATCAAATTTCCTTTAAAAGAACAATTAAAAAAATGTATGTAGTACAACTATTTTTATTTTCTTTATTTTTTCCTTAAATACAATATATTCGATTTCAAGTGACTGATTTTTTTTAATTAAAATTCTAGAACTTCAAATTACTGTATCTGTGTGCATAAACATGTCGCCTACTATAGTAAACCTTGCAGAGATTTTTTCCCAAAATATAAGACATCCGCACCTCATGTATGCAGCACTCCTATGTGTCACCTGTGCTGCACACCATGCAGGCGAATTTGTAATTTTTTTTTTCCTATTTTCGGTCGCATGAAATACATCCCCTTGCGTCTTCCTTGCGCCACTCGTACAGTATCCCTACCGCATACAGTATGTATATGGCGCATGTGTAGTGAAATTTCCGAATTTTATTTTTTACGTATTTCGAAGGCGGACAGGAAGTTTTCGGATCCCAGAATAATTACCCCGAAAATTTATATTAATACATACAGTATATACAATATAAATTTCAAAAATAGATCTGGCCCTTAAATTTATATTGTATATATTAATCGAAAATAATAGATACAGTATATGGGTAATTATTTTTGAAGGCAGTAAAAAATGCTAGATATGATTTTTTCGGTCCCTACTTTTAAACAATACATACACAATGTAAATTT